AGAGATAAAGAAAAACATTTCATAATTATAACGCCTTCAATTCACCAGGAAGATGCAGCAATCATAATGTGTATCCACACACAGGAAACCCTTGATTCTGTGGACCTCAGACCTTGATTTAACAGATTTCAGATTTAATCGACAAAATTTCCAGTCTATATGTCATATGTGAAAATTAACATGTGTTAATTAACACGTGTTAATTTTAAAATGCTTTTAACCAAGATTTGCTTATAACTAAATTAACAGGGGTTTTTTTGTTATTAATGCAGTTATTTTTTTTTAACAAATTTTAATAGGCCATATGTTGGAAAAACCAATGTTGTATCTATAACTATAGTTTACATATTTAAATCCAAGAGACAGTGCTTATAAATAATGTTCAGGGAATGATTAGCATGTGATCACACCACATCTCTCTCAACATGTGGCATGCCTTTCTGCAGCAGTTTTAACACGTGCCGGCCGATGTTCCTAGGTGCACTAAGCCACATCCCAGCCATAGGCATTTGTTTATTCACAGTGACTGGGAAATGCATTTATTTACTGGACCTATTCAGCATAAATTAAAATTATAGCAATACATAGAGAAAATTTTTCTGTGAAATTAAACTTTTCATACATACTTAATTTTAATTACACAAACATGTCTACATTAAGTAAAAACAGATAGACTAATTTGTCAATTTTTCAAAATACACATTTGGAAAATCTACTTTATTATATAATGGACTTTCAGCTTTAACAGATACCCCCTGGCCTAAATTAATTCATTATATTGATATGAAGGTTTTACTGGATTAACAATTAAAAACTGAAATTTTAAAAATAACGAGAGCATCCAAAAACATAAAATGCTTAGAAATACATTTAACAAAAACATATTTCTAAGCATTTTATGTTTCAGATCTCTACATTGAAAAATATAAAACACTGTCAAGAGATAGTAAAGAAAAAGAACTGAATTTTCATGGATTCAAAACCTTATCATTAAATTATCAATTCTCCCCAAATTGATTAATTCAATCCAAATCCATCCAAAAGCCCAGAAAGGCTTGATTTTGTAGAAATTGTCAAACTCTTTCTAAAGGAACTGAAAAACTAATTAAAACAGTAAAAAGTAAAAAACTTCTAAGAACAAAATGTACGAGAAAAATCTTTGCAATTTGGGAGTAAAAAAAATATTTCATAGCTAGGACACAAAAAGCATAAGATTAAAAAAAACCTGACATTGAATTTCATCAAAATGTGTTTTTTTGTTGTTGTTGTTGTGTTGTGGGGTTGAAGCCTGGGTTCAAAATAAGACCACCGGAGGCTGATGATTGATTAAAAAAAGCAGGCAAGGATTTATTGAAAAACTGGCCAGCACGGCCTTGAGAGCATGACGCACAGATGGAGTCCACAGGACCACCATTCCAGGTGTAGGCAGTCCTTGGAAAGGTTCAAACCACAGGAATTTTCCTTTGTTCTAAATTCTAAAGGCTGGGAACTTAGGAACAATAGCCGATAATACCAAAGAACTCAGAGGTTAATCTCTAAAGGTTATCTCTAAAGGTTATCTACAGTTTCTACCCCTGAAGCTACTGAGTCAGTGGGAATCAATCTGTATTTCTGGTAAAATTGCCTTAGCCTCCAGGTCTCAATTTGGAAGCTGAGGCAACTACCCTATGTTTAAGCAAGTGCAGGGTTAAAATTCAAACAGCAGTTTTTACTCAAGTATGGTTGCTACCATATTTCAGTACCTTCTCTCCCTCCTTTTCTACTCTAGAAAAATCAATGGGAAAAAAATCCTTGGGTGAGGATTAACAACAATAACAAGAACACCATTAAATAAACAATACATTAAATCATGTGTATCAATAAACTCATATCCAGAATAGACTTTAAAATCTTACAACTCAAGACAAAAATAACCCAATTATGAAATGGATAAATAATATAAAAAATACAGATGGGTAAATAGTATAGAAAAATATAGATAAGCCCCTACATTGGCAATTTTTTTTTTTGACCCCAAAAGCAAAGACATCAAAAACAAGAACAAGTAGGACTACTCAAACTAAAAAGCTTCTGCACAGAAAACTATCATAAAACAACCTACTGTTGAAAACTATCATAAAACAACCTATTGATTCTCTATCAGATATGATTTGCAAATATTTTCTCCACTACTGACTACTGAGTGGAGAAAATATTTGCAAATCATATCTGATAGAGGATCAATTTCCAAAATATATATAAAGAACTCATACAACTCAGTAGAAAAAAAAAGAGAGAAACAATCACAATCTGATTAAAAATGGGCAGAGCACCTGAGCAGACATATTCCCAAAGATGCATACAGATGACCAACAGGTACATGGAAAGGTGCGCAGCATCCCTAATCATTAGGGAAATGCACATCCAAACCACAATGAGCTATCACCTCATGTGGGGAGCCACCTACTACTGCCTTCACTGGTAGAGAGGTGTGGGCAAGGAGCCCGGAATGCTGGTGACCCTTGAGCCCAGGCAAAGGTCAGAGCTACGCACCCACTACTTAGTCATGGTATCTAAAGCAACTTCAAGACCAGATAGTCATGTAAATCCTACTGATAAGACAGCCTGTTAGCAGAAATTGCCTAAGGGCTTTAGGTGTATTCCAAACTGAATAAAAGGGTAGCAAGGCCTGAGCACATGCAGAGTCCTTCCTCTTGCATTGGGCTTCTGCCTGGCTCCCCGATTTCCAAATTATTGTTTCTTTAGACACAACCTGGAGGAATCCAGGCATGGGCTGGTTTTGTAGGCCAGGCTGAGGGACCCCACTGGTGCACAAATCCGTGCACCTGGCCTCTAGTGTGCTACAAAGATTGCATGTCTGCATGCCTCGACTTTTTACTCTTATCTAGAAAAAAGTCAGGGCAGTGAAAAGACCAAGACACTGGTGTTTTAAAAATTTGGAGTTGAAACCTGGTTCTATAAACAAGCTAGCTGAGTGATTTTTTGCACAAGTCACTTAACTTGGCTTTCTGAACCCCTTGCCCTCTATCCCCCTTCTTAAAGCATGCTAAAATACCTATCTCATGCTGAAACCGGTTTGGCTCAATGGATAGAGCGTCGGCTTGGGGACTGAAGGGTCCCGGGTTCCATTCCGGTCAAGGGCATGTACCTTGGTTGTGGGCTTATCCCCAGTAGGGGGTGTGCAAGAGGCAGCTGATCGATGACTCTCTCCCATCGATGTTTCTAACTCTCTCTCTCCCTTCCTCTCTGTACAAAAATCAATAAAATATATTAAATAAATAAATAAAATACCTATCTCTTAATGATGTCCTAAGGGTGAAATGAGATAAGAATACCTCCATTACCTAGAAAACAGTACTTGGCATGTAACAGGTGCCCAATCAGTTGAAGCTTTTCCGTTTCTAAGTTCCTTGAAAGCAAGCACGTGTTTCCTTGAAACCTTGCCAGTAGAACTAGCACAGTGCTTCGCACATCACAGAAACTCAGCGAATCCAGGGGCTGCCTTAGGAGGATGAGGTAAATATTCCACTATTTCTTCTTCTTCTTCTTTTTTTTTTTGAGGCAGCCCTAATTCCATAGGTGTACCCCAGTATCAGATACAACATACAGGTTTCTGGAGCAGTGTCTCCATGACATTTTTATTCTTTTAATGATCTTTCAACGGCTTCCCCTGATTCTTAGAAGAGGATTCAAACTCTTTACTGTGGCCCGGCGATCCGTTTAGTCCCAGCCCCTCCCTTCCCCTTCCCTCACTTCAGATGTTCCAGCCACACCTGACCTCTATCTGCACCTCAGATACTGGAGGCTTATTGCACCCTGAGGGCTTCCTTTCCTCCGAAGGGACCGCCTCTCCCCGTCTTCGCAGGCTGGGCTGTGGGTGAACACGAATCTCCAAAGCGGCCTCCGGAGTGTCCTTCCCTCGACTGCTCTGCCTCCGCCATCCCCCTGATTTCATTCACGGAATAGCACCTGCGCCCCATTCTCTCGTCCCTAAGTGAGAACGGGAACTGTTGTCTATTTCGTTTCCAGAAGTTTCCCCGGCGCCTAGAACTGTCCTGGCACAGAGTAGAGAGTAAGAGAGTGGCCCCTGGGCTACAGCTCACCCTAAGGTCCAGCTCTGGGCTCTTCAGGCTGGAGCCTGGGTGTGTGTGTGTGGGGGGAGAGGGTTTCGGGGGGACGGAAGTGGGGGGCGGGACTTCTCTAGCGTCTTCCCAGCACAGGCCCCGTTCCCGGGTCTGAAGGCCGAGCACCTCTTTTCCCTACAAGGGGAGCGGGGGGAACTTGGTTGGAAGCACCTCCTGTCGAGTCCCAGCAGCTGTGGGGTTCTGGGTTCCAGGTCAGGGGCGTCGGGGAACGCGTGTGGCACGGCCGGACGCCGGCACTCACGAAGCTTCTGGAACACACGCCCGCGAGCCCCGAGCCAGGGGAACCTCTTCCCGCGGAATCTGACGGGGCCTCTGAGGGGAGCGGAACGCGTGGGCGGCGGCGGCGGCCTCGCGACCCCGTCACAAGTCCCTCAGGTAGACTTCGAAAGAGAAATGTCTGTCAAAAAGGCGGGCCTCCTCTCACAAAAAAAAAAAAAAAAAGGTGAGGGAGTTTCGTACTGTAAGTCACCAGAAAACGGCTTCCAGGGAGCCAGCTGGTGTACACTCACCGGAAAGCAGCCGCCCCCGAGGGAACTTGACTTGGAAGGAGGCGGAGCGTTGGGGCGGTGACGACTGAGGCCGCCGCCCGCGCGGAGCTTGCGCAGCCGCAGTAGCAGCCGCACACCCCGCCCACCGGCCGCGCAGCCGCAGTGGAGGCCTCGTGCGCGCAGGGTGGGGCGCGGAACGGGGGGCGGGGCTAGCCGGTCTCCCGCGCTGACGCGACGGCTCGCGGCGGAAGGGCGTGGACGCGCATGCGTCGTGAGCAGGGAGGCGGGGCCGCGCAGGCTCAGTGAGCGGCGGCAGCGGCGGCGGTGGAGGTGGTAGCGGCGGCAGCTGTCTGGGGCTTCCAGGAAGATGGTGCTGATTAAGGAATTGTGAGTGGGTCCGTGGGCGGGATCGCGGCTGCCGGGGTGTCGTGGTGGAGGGAGGTTCATTGATGGAGACGTGGCGGAATACTCCTGAGAAGGACCGAGGCTGGGGTTTGGCCGCTCCCTTTCGCGTTCCCCTTCCCCCCCTCCGGCCCGCGCCCCCCGGCCCACTCGAGGCCCCCCTCCACGGCGCTTCCCCAGGGTCCTCCTCCGGGCGTCCCTGCGGCCACAATGCTGCCCTCTCTCCTGGGGTGCGAGGCAGGCTGTGTCCCCGATCGGATCGCGTGGCTCGGGAAGGCGCGGCCGGGAGTTTCCCGCTGGGACCGGTCTTCCCACCAATCCCCTAGCCCCAGGCCCCGCTGGGGGCACGGAGGGTGGGAGAGACCGGGGTGGGTTTGACTGTGATTTGTCGTCATGGGTGGAGCCTGCCTGAGATCGGCGGCTTGTCGGGTGAGGGCAGCACTGGGGTCTGAGCTCCAAGTGGGACCCAGGCGCCCTGAAGTTCCTGCAGGGAAGCCGGGAAAGCCTGCGCTTCCCCCCCCCCCCCCAGCCCCCCGGGCGGGCAGCTCCGTTGACTTTGACAGCAGTGACTTGACAGCAAGGCCATCAGTCTCAGTTCCCATATCTTGCAGGTGGGGTGACACTCTAGGCTCCACCCACCTCACCCGGGCTGCAGGGAGGCATGAACACGTGGTCTGTCAAATAGAAGGGTTCCCAGGTGCCTTCGATCCAGCCGAGCGATTTTGTTGAAAAGTCAGGGGTTTCCCACCCGCCCAGGACGGACTATCGCAGGAAATGTGGTTGGCTGTGATTGTTCAGCTATCACAGCTGGTTCGTTTCGTCATCATCCCTTGGGCAACGAGGGGATTTCGAGTTAGGGCCCTTTTCGGGCTTTCAAATGCTCCTTTCGTTCTACATTAAAAAACAAACAAAAACTTTTAGTTGAATTGAACCATCTCCAACACACTTTATTCTTATTGTAGTACTAGTTCCGAAACTTTTCTTTAAAAACAAAGCGGCTCATTTCGGCTTCTCGGCTTAAAACACTCAAAAGATTTCCATATCTCTCATTGAGAATCAAAGCCCACACCCGTTACAATATAGCCAGGAGATGGGGTGGTCTTATACTATTATCTTTTCTGTGCTGATTTTATTTACTAACCTTCCCCTGCCCATCCCAAGCTCACGTGCTTCCTTGCTGTTCTTGCCTTTCTGCTTGCTGTTCCCTGGTTTGAAGTGTTCATTCTGCATCTCACTAACCCTACCCCATCCCTCCACACCCTTCCTTCAGGTCTTTTCTTAAATACTGTATCACCCTCTTAGGGAATCCGTCTCTGAAGACCTAATTGTAACACCCACCTTTGGTATCTGTTTTCCCTGCTCAATTGTTCTCCCATAACAGTTATCACCATCTACCATGCAACACAATTATTTTAATATATTTTATTGATTTTTTACAGAGAGGAAGGGAGAGATATAGAGAGTTAGAAATATCGATGAATCACCAATCAGCTGCCTCCTGCACGCCCCCTATTGGGCACGTGCCAGAATCGAACCCGGGACCCTTCAGTCCGCAGGCTGCCGCTCTATCCACTGAGCTAAACCGGTTTCAGCGCAACACAATTATTATGTTTTTTGTTTTTGTTTTTCTGTTTTACTGTATATATTCTCTTACCACATGTAAGCTCCATGAATTTGTCTTGCTGGCTCCCATATTTTCAGGTCTTAGACTAGTCCCGGGCATGTAGTACATGCTCAGTAAATATTTGTTAAATAAATTAATGAAAAATTATAACTTTAGCCAGTGACAGGGATCCTGAGAAAAGACACATTTCAGTCAAAGCTTATTTATAGTATTGGACTTTGGATTTACACGAAAGTTTTCTTCCAAGTTCTTTGTACAGTGTGTCTTGTACAGGTTATCTCATTTATTACTCTGACCTCTTTGTAATGTTGGTAGGTGGCAGATATTAAGACAGATTGAGGAAATGAGACAGAAGGAAATTGACTTGGCTCAAGCCAAGGAAGTTGCAGAACTGATTTTAGATCACAGGAGTAATCATATTTCTTTTATTAGAGTTATTTCCTCCCTCCTAAAATGTGAATTAAGTGCTTAGTAGATTCCGTTGACGATTATGTGAGGAGTGTCAAGCTCACTTAAGAAAAACATTTCCCATTGATACGTTATACACTTTGGTTTTTGTGAACCATTACTTTCATTGTAAAAATTTGAATGCACTGAGATAACACATATCAAAATGTGCCCAAAGTATATTTCCTAACAATTTATAATGACCATTTCTTGATATTCACTCCTCACATATGTCTCCCCTACAATGTATTTCCCTCTAGACTTTTTGAAGATACTGTTTCTTATTTTTAAGTATTCCCAGCATCAACACAGCATCTAGTCTAGTACACTGTAATTATTCTTAGTATTTCCAAGTCAGCTTTCTAAAATTGTTTTTGGTTAGGAGCAATGAACAGGTCATTACTATATGAAGATGTTGGTAAATTGTAAAATGCTTTGGCAAATGTTTGTCGTCTTAAAAAAAATGCCATCTATTTTTGACATGAATTAAAAGGTTAGAAATAACTTTTCAGGGTGGGAAGTTCACTTCAAGTTGTTAAGCAAATAGATGGATTTGCCATTAGAATAAAGTCTTAATTTTTTAAAAAACTAGTTATTAGTTCCATTTGGGAAATTATGTTCAGGAAAATTTTTAGAGAAGTTTAACATTTTTTAAATACAGACATAACTCAGAGATATTGTCGGTTTGGTTCTATACCAGTGCAATGAAGTGAATTTCGTAGTAAAGCCAATCACGAACTTTTTGGTATCCCAGTGAATATAAACGTTATGTATTACGGCAGTCAACTAAGTGTGCAATAATATTATGTCTTAAAAAAGGTACAAGTCTTAATTAAAAATATTGGTACACATTGCTAACCCTCATCTCAACGTATTGGAAAAATGGTGCCAGTAAACTTGCTCAACACAGGATTTCCACAAACCTTCAATTTGTAAAAGCAAAGAAAAAGGCATCTGTGAAGCATAATAAAATGAGGTATGCCTGTTCAGGTTCCCCCACTATCCGAAAGTAGAGCATTCCTATGAAACTTTTAATTAGCTGAAATGGCATAAAACAAAGAAGCAGTTACCATTAATTAATACAGTTAACTCTTGGAACAATGCACAGGCTTAGGGACACTAACCCCCCCCCATCCCAGTTAAAAATGTATATAAATTGTGACTCCCCTAAAACTTAGTTGTCCCTTGGTACCCACAGAGAATCCCCAAAATTCACTGATGCTAGGTCCCCTATATAAAATGGCACAGATCAATGCATACAACGGGTTCTCTGCTTGCAGCCACGGATTGAAACAGTACTGGTGTTTATTGGAAAAAATCTGCCTATGAGTGGACTTGCACAGTTCAAACCCATGTTGTTCAAGGGTCAGCTGTACCTGAAAAAATTTTGATCATGCCCATATTCCCCTAAACACCTACAAAATCACATTAGATATGCTTAATTGCATCCAGTTTTACACTAAGTGTGATACCTGGATGATCTCTCAGGCTTTTCTGGCACCTCAGGATACACCTTGCTAACTGATGCACAAAATAAATCGAGATAAAGCACTGATGCTCACAGACACAGTTCACAGCTGCGCAGCTTGATGCTGAAATCCTGAGTGTGGTTCCCTGGGAAGGAGCTTGGTGGGGCCACTCTTGATGCAACCCCCCCAATACCTCCCCACCCCAGTTGCATCCTGCCTCTGTGACAGTTCTACAAAACAAATGCTGAATATTATTTCACTTTTCTCCTTTATTTGTGATAGCGAGAATCCTCTGTATTTCTTTCAGTTAGCAAAAATAGGTTCTAATATAGGTCTTTCCTAAAAGTGAAGTGGCAAACTTTCAAAATGTAGGGGAATATCTGTACTGCTTTTAGACCAGTCATCAGAAATCAAGTCCTGTCCCTTCTCTCTCGTACTTTTTTTTTTTTTTTTTTAATATATTTTATTGATTTTTTACAGAGAAGAAGGGAGAGGGACAGGGAGTTAGAAACATCGATGAGAGAGAATCATCGATCAGCTGCCTCTTGCACACACCCCACTGGGGATGTGCCCGCAACCAATGAACATGCCCTTGACCGGAATCGAACCTGGGACTTTCCAGTCCGCAGGCCGACGCTCTATCCGCTGAGCCAAACCGGTTTCGGCTCTCTTGTACTTTTTAGTAAGTAAATCTTGAAGAGGTTACTTGACTCATCATTCATTCAGAATGTCTTAATCAGTCACTTTTCATTCCGTGAAATGAGTTTTCCTAGAAGTGTAGTTATATAAAAATATGGATCTTCCTGCTAAAATCACTCAGGGGTTGTTTGGCTTTGTGAAACTTCAGGGAAGTCTTTAACTCTTTCCTTTGTATTCCTTCCTTCCATTTAATTCCTCTGCAGCCCACCATCTTGGTTCAAGGCCTTTGTAAGGCCTTGCCCAGCCTCCCAAAAGATGGCTCTCCCCACACTCCTGCTTCTCCAGGTTAGCGGTAGTTCTTTCTCACCTTTTGGAACAACCTCTCAGCATTCCTTGTTGCCTAATAAATTTAATAGATTTCTTACCATTATATTGCAGGCCCTCATAATATTTTCCCTACATTTTGTCTGTTTTCTCCTATATTTTTCAAAATACACTCCCAGCCTATAACCTAGTCTTCCCCCTGACCACTGCACTCCTGTCCCAGTTTATTTTCTGTTACTGAGGCAGTGAGGTTCAAATGAGTGTGTATCCAGAAGATACAGCTGAAATTATATGTATGGTAGGACTGTGTACCAAATGAATTCTTGATGAGGATAGAAACTAGTAACCTTTGTGACTTTGAGGATGTTCATTGTCTTTAGATGACCATTATAAAAAAAGACAGAGTGATGAGCGATCTCCAGTTGTTAAGGAGGAGGGAATTACAAGAGGCATGTTTTGCACCTGTTGACGATTAAGGTGATGTGAGTATTCAAGCATAGATGCTTGCGGAGAATAGGGAGAGAGAAGTAGGTGGAAAGTGCAGCTAAAAAGAGGTTGGAATGAGGAACACTATTGGGAATTTTCTATGAAAAGAAAATCAAGCTGAGTTCCTTGAGATTTTTCTCTCTCCTTATAATAGAAAGAGTTAAAATAAGACTTTCAATCACTGTGGTGCTGGCTTAATAGTTTGGAGGGAAAGTCAGAGAAGGACCAGGCCAACAAAAAGGTGATCTTTTGAACATCAGCTCTTCTGAGATATTCAGGATGGTTTTCGGAGTTTATGGTAGAACTACATAAACGTATTTCATTATAAAAATCTAGAGTTAAAATGCAGTGTTCTAAAATAGTTTACCATGGTATTCTTTTTTGGAGCCGGAGTCTCTATATTGATCCCTTTGCATGTCCAATAAAAAACTGCTGGACAAGATCAAACACATAACCTTACAATACTACATTGACTACCCTGGAAGGAATTGTTATATTTATAAGGCTCAAAGTATTTTCCATAAAGTTTTTTTTTTTAAGTAATTGTTTTTCTTAATATATATTTTATTGATTTTTTACAGAGAGAGAGAGGAATAGAGAGCTAGAAACATCGATGAGAGAGAATCATCGACCAGCTGCCTCCTGCACACCCCCTACTGGGGATGTGCCCGCAACCAAGGTACATGCCCTTGACCGGAATCGAACCCAGAACCTTTCAGTCCGCAGGCCGACGCTCTATCCACTGAGCCAAACCGGGTTTGACAAGTTTTTTTTTCTTAAGTCTAATGGACCGTTTATTTGTTTTTCTCTTAATAAAATTGAGAAGTAATTGGGTAGTAAGGATCAGTTTTGGGAAGTATTCATTCATGAAATTCAGGACATCTATTTGTGAGAAGCATCCAAAAATGCACAGCATATAAATAGAGAATGAAACCATACTAAAAATTTCATGAGAGCAACCTGGCCAGACAGTGTACAAATAATACATTCTGTACCCTGTAATTTTCGGTAATGAGTTTTCTCTTGTTCTTTACTCTTCACAGGAATCTCTGCAACTGCTTTTGGGGGATCCTGGTATAATTTAGATGCTAAATGCAGTGATTGCTGACAACCTAAAATGGTAGTTTTATTTCCCCAATTTAAAAAAACGCACTTAGCTGAAACCGATTTGGCTCAGTGGATAGAGTGTCGGTCTGCGGACTGAAGGGTCCCAGGTTCGATTCCGGTCAAGGGCATATACATTGGTTGCAGGCACATCCCAGGTGGAGGTTGTGCAGGAGGCAGCTGGTCGATGTTTCTAGCTCTCTACCCCTCTCCCTTCCTCTCCGTAAAAAAATAAATAAAATATATTAGTTAAAAAACAAAACACACACACTTATTTAGCCCAGGTTGGTGTACTTAATGGTTAGAACACCAGCCTTCTCACTAAAGGGTCTGGGGTTCCATTCCCGGTCAAGGACATGCACCTGGGTTGCAGGTTCAATTCCCAGCACTTACAGGAGGCAACCAGTGCATTTATCTCTCATATCTATGTTTCTTTCTCTTCCTCCCTTTTTTTCTCCCTCCCTTCTAATCTCTGTAAAAGTCCATGGAAAAGATATATCCTCAGGTGAGGATTAACAAAAAACACTTACTTAGAGCTGTAGGCATTGCAAAGACACTTTTCCATAAATGATGTCCTTGTATCGTGCTATCATTGGATTTACAGTAAAAAGTCTTTTAAGCATACAGATGTGTTTTAAAGTCAATTATTTTATGTGTAACCTATATTCTTCTTCCTTTTGTCTTTTTAGCCGTGTGGTTTTGCCCTGTTCTGTTCAGGAGGTAAGTCATATTTGCTATCTAAAAGTTATATTTTTGTTGTATTTATTTACCTTTACATTTTAGTTTTATGTGATAAAAAAAACAGGTTTGTTACACAGATAACTGTAAATGAATTTCTGTTACATTGCTTTGTTTTGGAAGGGACCAAAGAATGCAGGTTAACCTGCTGTCTAGTGCAGAAATTCTGTCTACAATATCCCAGAGAAAGGAGGTTCTTGCTCAACTTCAACACTTTAAGGTTAAGTCACTTGCTGCTTAGAGAAGAAACCTACTTAACTGTTGGACTTTTAAAAACATTTGTCTTGATTTTAAACCAAAATCTGCTTTCCCATAATACTTGACTGTTGTTTAAGTTCCTTCCATTTGAGCGGTAAGAAATAGGCCTGTTCTGTCTTGCATATGGTAACCCCTCAGGTCTTCAGATGGCAGCTCTCTGTCCTCCCCCAATCCTTTGTTCCATCTTCTCGAGGTTACAAGGTTAAACATGTCCAGCATGTTCATTTGGCCTGATACAACATGACACCCCTGGCCTTCCTCACCAGCTGGTCTCCCTACTGCATCGTCGCAGTTACTGCTTTCCACTGAAAATGGTTTTCCAGACATGTTTTGACCAGCACCTCACTGAGAGATTATTGTCTCTCTTGATCTGCACATGATACAGAAATACATCCCCTGTTCAGAAGTTGCATATTTTGGAGTTTTATCTATCTGTAGTATAGCCAAGAATGAGGGTAGTAAAAACAGAAAAGACCTCAGAGAAATCAAGATATAGGTAGCAAAACACAGAAACCCCTTGGGGTCCTTCTGTAACTTGCACACAGTGCACGCTTGCTCAGTTATCTGGTTTTCTTAGAGCTGACAGTGAATTCGCAGCAGTGAATTGGAAGTGGGACAAAACAAACTGATAACCAGAGAAAGGACAGGTGATCAAAGACAGAAAGAAAAAAAAAATAAAATGAAAGAACTGAAAACCAATAGCTAACTACACTGTTTAATGTAAATGAGAACACAGCTCTATATATTTCAGTGGTGCCTGAGGTTTCACTGTATTAAAAAAACACTCCAAACAAGCCAGGCACTCCTATTCTTTACTTGTGTAGCTCATTGTTTGAACTTGAATGCGGAAATTGACATTTGTTTTTGTTTCTTTTTTTTCTCTTGGTTTTGGATGTTGGATCAACTTGGATGTTGAAATTTTTCTTGGTATTGTTACTGAAAATAATCTCAGCTCTTTGTTGTACTGGCACTTAATAAATATATCTATTGCCTTCATTTGTTGGTCTTTAAAATGACAATGACAGCCTAATAGCAGGCCACACAACATTAGTCCCTTAAGAACATTTTTGTTTTTTGGATACTGTTGTTGTTTCTGTGTAAATTTTTGTTTACTCTGTTCCTGGCCAAGATCAAATTTGCCTTTTGACTTAGAGACATTTTAATCCTTTTTTTTAAAATATGAGAAGTACATTTTAAAGGGCTTAAGGATTGACTATAGCATTACTAAACTAACACTGATGATGTATCATGAAAAACAAAAGAAGAAATACAACCCTTTCTGCAGTCTAAAACCCCTACAAAAACTTATTTGATTCATTTAAAAAAAAAAGTGTTTGGTTCTAGCTTCCTGAGAGACAGAGACATGGACAGAGAGACTGGGAAAGGGGAAATAGATGAGTGAAGGGAGAGAGAATGAGGATTAACATGCAAGATATCATATTCCTATGGGCTTTTTATTTAAAAAAATGTTTATTGATTTTAGTGAGAGGGGTGAGAGAGAGAAAGAGAGAGATTATTCAGTTGCCTTGAGACACACCTGGACTGAGAATCAAACCTATAACTTGGGTCTATGCCCTGATTGGGAATCGAACCAGCGACCTTTTTGTGTAAATGACGATGTTCAACCAATTGAGCCACACCAGCCAGGGCCCTATGGGCTTTTTAGATAGAAATATTTACAGAGCTGGCCCTATTTTTTGCCCCTCAAATAAAATGTTGGTTTTGAACGATTAGTTTTTACAGGTAGCGTTTCTTTGAAAACATGCTCATAAAAACAAAAAACAAAAAAAAAACACCCATATTTTTTTTTCAGGCTGTCTTCATTGGGAGGAAGAAATTTAGACAGGTTTGAAGAGATTGGAGATAGTGCCATGGTTGAGTCCTTAGGAACAAATTAGAACAAAAGAACTTTGCTTTTTATCATTTATTGGAATAGTTAGTGACTTGAGAATGGCATTGAACAATACTGCCCACTCACAGGTATTGGAGCAGACCACCACTGAGAATTCTGGTTCACTTTAAAATGAAATAGAAACCACAGTCAGCAATTTTTTGCCTTTTCAGACTCTTATTATACTTTATATCCCTCCCCTTTATTATTGAGAATGGTATTCTGGTTTTTCACTTATCTAATTGGCAAAGTGATGGTTCTATACGTGCCATACCTTTTTACAAATTTTGTAAGATTATTGAGCTATAATAGATATGAAAATGTATATTATTCAAAAACGAACTAAGTATCAAGATGTTTGTTGTTTTTTTTTAAGAAAATTTTTACTCAGAGGAAGAAAGAGTTCCTTTTTTAATATATATATATTTTTATTGATTTCAGAGAGAAAGTGAGAGGGAGATAGAAACAACAATGATGAGAAAAAATTATTGATTAGCTGCCTCCTGCATGCCCCTTACTGGGGACCAACTCCACAACCTGAGCATGTGCGCTGACCTGAAATTGAACCATGACCTCTTTGTTCATAGGTCGATACTCAATCTCAGAGCCACAACCAGCCAGGCACAAGGTGTTTTTTTTGATAAGTGGATATCGGAGTACGTAGTAAAGCACCAGAGTGTTTATAACTAACAGTTTTTTTGAATAATGGAAATCTTGTAAAATATTACAGTTTCTTGAAGCTGTATGAGCATCTGGTAATTCCTCTTCCTAAAACATTCGTTTCTAATTTGAGACACATTTTCTTGTAGAACATATGTGCTAAGTGGTTTGGACTTACTTTTCTATATCATCTATAGTAAGATTTTAGCATAGGAAGTTTCCACATTTACTACTGACTTACTGAGATTCCTTTACTCTTTGAAATTTCAGTATCAGGTTGGGCAGCTCTACTCGGTTGCAGAAGCTAGTAAGAATGAGACTGGTGGTGGAGAAGGAATTGAAGTCTTAAAGAATGAACCTTATGAGCAGGATGGAGAGAAAGGACAGTATACACACAAAATTTATCACCTAAAGAGGTAAGCCGCCTATTCACATTTGATACTTAATCATTATCTATTAGTATAATAATAAAAGCATAATATGCTGATTAGACCGGACAGCTGAATGACCTTCCAATGAAGCCAAGGCAGCTGCCACAGCTGTGAGGGCTGAGCCCCTTGCACGAATTTTGTGCACCTGGCCGCTAGTATTAAATAATTAGGCATCATCTACTCAACTTACTTATTTAAGCATGTAACTACCTAACAACAAAACTGATATACCACATGTATCATTTTTTGTTTTCTACAACAAATGGGATCATACTACACATATGGTTCTGCAGTTTGCTTTATTTTTTATGTTATATATCATGAACATCCATGTTATTGTTTAATGTCCATTTCATTCTTTTTAAGACTGAGTAAAATTTCTTAGTATGGACATAGCATAGTTTACTTATCCATTCTCTAATGATAAGCTGACGGGGTTGTTTTTTGGGCGTTTTCCAGTTTTTGTCCATTACAAATAATATTTCTCTGAACTTGGTTGTACATGTCTTTATGCCTTAGGTTACTCTTTCAGCAATCCTAGCTTCATAGATTTCTATGAAGCTAGGATTGCTGAAAGGACAAGCTCATTTTAAGTTTTATTATTGCCCGATTACCCTCCAAGAGTGTAATAGTGTTCATTTTCCCATATTTTTCTATCTTTTTAAATTTGGCCAATTTGATACTCAGAAAATAATCTCTTATTTAACTGTGCATTTCTTTATTAGTGAAGTTATGCCTCCCACCCCAGGGTGATTATGGAGCAGTAGCCAGGCCCCTGACCAATTGCATCACACCCGCCTTGGCTGGCCTGGCGCCAGTGGGTGTCATAGTGTGGATGGTCACTCTGCTGTTCGGCTATTTGGTTGATTTGCATATTATGGTTTTATTATATATGATAAGAAGACCTTCTCTCAGGCTTTTCATGAGCTAAATAAAGGAAAACCTTGGCTCTCTGGATGCACTCAGTCTTCTGGAACCGCTTCTTCATTCCATAATACATACCCTTTGGTTTCACCCTTTAATGCACTCATTTATACCTCATGGCAGTTCTGAGAAATAGTCAGTATACACCTTATACATAAGATCCAAAGTCACCCAGCAAAGAAGCGGTAGAGCAGTGACTGAGATTTGCTTTTTCTGATTTTTAACCCCATGCTTTGGCCACAAGTAGGCAGTCCCAAATGCCTGACAGGAAGTACTCAACCTGATGAACACGGTGTCCCCTGAGAAGGGAAGGAGAAGGTTGATTTGCACGGTGAGGGCTGTTTAAATGCCCTTATAAGACTGGCCTTGTCAAACAACGATGGCAACTGTGGTTGGAATCAGGGAGTGGAATGAAAAGGAAAGAAGGGGGCAGTAGTGGATCTCAAGCAGTATGGCAAATAAAGCCACTCTAACTGTTATGAAAAACAACCAAAAACTTATCTGTTAATGAATACAAAACAGGGGCCCACTGTCACTATAGTCTGGAAGGAGAGGAGGGCATTCAGATGTCTACACTCAAAGTCAGCAGTGTCATGCAGAAGGCAGAAAGCCACAGGAAAACTGTATCCTGGAAGAGCAAAGAATCATTTCGTAGTAAGTCCTGAGGCCTTCACTGGGCTATAGGAAAGACTGCAATTATGATAGAGGGCTGGCAGTGCAGCCGGTCATACTTCAGTACCTGTAAGGGTGTAAGTTCAGCATACCCATAGTTCCTAGAGTCTTAGAGCTCTCTCCCTAAGGAAGATAAATATATGCCCAGTAATAGATGTTCCCTTTTCCAGTATTTATCCCATTGGGTAACCTATAGAGTGCTCTGGTACAGCATCAATAGAATTGATGGCAGATTTGGATGGGTAAGGTAGCTAGTTGACCAAGGCCACCAACACCTTATTTTACATTTGAGATATTGGAAGTGGTGAGGTCTACTTTACCCACTGTAATCAAGGTCTCTGGATTCCCTGGCCAGTATGCCTTCCTATTTCAGCAAAAACCCTTGTTTTTTTGTAAGATTACATACTTCATCTCAATCAGGAAATTGAGGAACAATCTTGGCAGGGTATTTATTAAAAAATCCTAAGTTTAGTGACCATCTCGAGGAACATTTCAAATGTCTGGTTTCCTTCACTCTTAGATAATATTCTTTTTATGGGATAGTGAGGTCCTTTCCATATATCTTTCAATTCCTTTCACTAGTGAGGAGTTGCCCATGGTAATTCTAAGCATAGGATTTGGTACTTGGTATATTCTTAAACAGTGTGCTGGCCACTGTAAGTGCTCTCGGTGGAAGCTCATTCATTTCCCATAGCACCCCTTTCTAGTGAGGAGACTGAGATCCAGAAAGGTAAAGTGGACCCTGTGCCACTGCTGTTAGGTGGTAGAGATTGGAGATGAACCCAGGCAGGCATTGTGACTCCAGAACTTGCCCTCTTAATCACTTGGCTCTACTGCAGAGCCTTGTGGGATGTTAGAATATTTTCCATTTCCTGCAGTGAACTGCAAAGGACTTGACAACGAAATTCTTCCAAACCCACGATTTCATCATATCCCATTTTCTTAGGTCTTTAAAGTCTCAAGTCTTGTAAAATAAAAGTTAAACTTAACATGGTACTCAAGATGTTCACTTAGGCTCGGTTGTAGTAGATGTCCAGAATAAAGACCGTTAGCTCTAAGTAAGCTAGGCTTTGTCTTCCAGACTGATCTGGTCCAGGCCCTTAGGCTATTTTTCTAATGATTTGGGTCTCTCATAACCTGCTCAGCTTTCTGAACACAGCTTAGTCTGTCTTGTGTGGAGGTATTCCGTGACTACTTACATTCTTCCCTAACCTCCATCTCTTTTTGTCACTCTACTCAGTTTGCTTCCTAGACTTGTACCCCACGTACCGTAAAGTTTGAGTATGTTTCCTTAAGTTGTTTAATAAGCACTTAATGGTGGATGGTGGAGAATTAACAGAATTTATTGGGCAAAAAATCTGGAAGCAAGGCAAGACAGTGTGTTGCAACTTTTGAGGCGGTATTTCAGAGAAAAACTTGCAGTTCTCCCGAGACCTCATCAGAACTCTGGCCAGACCTTATGTGGATTGTTTTCTCTCCCTTCTTGGGGGAAAATTAAGTTCGCTCTTTTTTTATTTCTCATAAATATTATGCTTTCACCATCTTCTGTCAGTCCTGTAATATGGAGAATGCATAAAGCTTTGCCCACTCTGGGATGGCTTTGTTCCTCAAAGGTTAAAATAGCAGAGGTTTTATTGAAAATTGTTTTAAAATTTCATGTGGTTCAAGTTAAGAGCTAATTTTTATAAGCAAAAAGATTCATTTGCCAGGAAGTAAAAGTTATGTGTGCATTTGAAAATGAGAGGTTTAGCCTTGGCTGGTGTGGAGCAGTTGGTTGAGCATCATCCTTTGCACCTAAAGGTCTGGTCAGGGCATATACTGAGGTCATGGGTTTGATCCCTGGTTGGGGTGCATATGGGAGGCAACTCTTTGATGTTTCTCATATTGATGTTCCTCTCTCTTTCCCTTCCTCTCCAAAATCAATAAAAATATATTTAAAAAAATAAGTAATTAAATAAAAGCAACAAAGTATGGATTTTTTTTTAAAAGGAAGTTTAAATCACCTAAGTATGCAAAGATTAATTTTAAATGATTTATATTCAGAAGTGAGGATAAGTAAGAAATTAATAAATAGCCTAATATAGTAATTTGTTCTTGAGTTGAGAATTAGCCATCAACAGGTAATTTTTTCTTTGTACATATGTAGCTCTGAGTCTTAATTTTGCACAGGAAAAGTTTTCTGAATCAGGAGTGATCCTATTCTACAAGAATATCAGAAATATTACTGAAATACATTGTTTCCTCTTTCTGGTGCACAGTGACCCTTAACATGGGTTTGCACTGCATGTATGTGGGTCGCCATGTATGTGGTGGTTGTTTTTTTCCAATAAATACACTGTCGGTCCTCTGTTTCCCCAGATTATGCATCTACGAATTCAACCACAGTGGGAAAGCATTGCTTTTATTATTGTTATTATTATTATCATCATTATTATTTCAGAGAGAGGGAGAGGGAAAGATAGAAACATCAATGGAGCTTCCTATCAGATATATGATTTGCAAAATTATTTAGTTATGAGTTGTTTCTCTTTCTTGATAGTGTTGTCCTTTAAAGCTTAAAAAGTGTACAGTTTTGATGAAGTCCAATTTACTTATATTTTATTTCTTTTATTATTTATGCTTTTGGTGTCATTGCCCATTCCAAAGTCACAAAAATTTATGTTTCTTGTAACAATTTGATAGTTTTAGCTCTTAGATTTAGATCTTTAATCCATTTTGAGTTAACTTTTTCCACTCTATTCTTACCCACTCCTTTTAATTTTCCACACAAAGCCAGAATGATCTGGAAACTTAGATCAGGTTGTGTCATTCCCTTTCTTAAACCCTTCATTAGCTTTACATCATATAAAGAATAAAATGCAAATCCTGTGGCCTGTAAGATGGGCCCCTGTGATCTGTCTGCCCCCTGCCTTTCTCACCATCCTCAGCTTGTATTCCTCTGTTCCTTGTACCCCTGCTTGGGGCAAATGTGGGAGGCAACCAACCTACAAGTCTCTCTTGCTGGGCTGTTTCTCTTCATTTCCCCCACCACCACCACCACCCATCCCCACCCTCCTTCCTACTCTGTTTGGAAGTTACTGGAAAAAATATCCTCAGGTGAGGATTAACAACAACAACAAAAAAGAAATGATTAGCCAAGTTACTTATCTTAGGAACAGGATTTAAAAAAAAAAAAAAAAAAAAAGAATGCTCCTGGATCAGGAGTTCAGTGTACATTATGGTCATTGATTATATATCTTTAAGCCATATTAGCCCTTTGTTTTCTGGTGACAAAGTCCTCTCCCAGCAAAGCAGACAGGTTCACAACCATTGAGCTTAGATTAGATCTTAGTATTACCTTCTCTGAAGACAAGCTTAGATTAGATCTTAATATTATCTCCTCAAGACAATTGATAAAGCATTTTGGTTTAGTTAAATATTGTTAGATAACCTTCAGGTGTGGGTAGGCTACGTGTTGGCCTAGAACCTTTGCGCTCTTGGGCACGATGCTCTGGCTGACTTTCAACAGCTGGAATGTAGAGATGTTTACATTGAGGTAGGCACTGTCATCAGTATTGACTTATTACGAGAGAACATTTCATGACTAGTTTGGGATGAGCAAGAGGAAGAATGTCCTTCCTAATTTGTTTTTGAAGGCCCAACTCCATTTTGTTCCGTTCATGTATGTTCCTTTTCTGAGACTCTGTAAGATTTCAAAACGGAATTTTCTTCATTTTACTAAAGTGACTTCCCTAGTGGTACTGAGGTGGAAAAACAATGTATATGTTGCGCTCTCACTTATATACATAAGTGGCACACTTGGACTACCTTGTTAGGAAGATGTTAAAGCTGCCATTAATGAAAATTTCTCTCCTGTAAAATGAATTGAAATTTAATTTTATTTACTCCATTTTATGCATTTCCCCCAAGTTTAGTCAATTACTTAGATTCATTGAGGGAGGGATGTGCTTGTTAATGTTCTTCTATTAAATGTAAAAAGTCAGTAAATTTGAAACAAAATTGGCTCAAAGGTTTGGTTGAGCCTAACTAAGTCAAAACAAAATGAATTGTTAGAATTCATATCGTGGAAATAGCATCCTGGAAGTAAGATAATAGGCCATGCAGGGGTAAAATGAAGAAATATTTAAGCTTTCTTATATATTTGGCTGTTGGGGCCTTTAATGGCTGACTGCCAATTTTCTTCTGTTTGGGCCAGCAAATTTTAGAACTTTTGGTGAATATCAAGGTTTTCAGAATATTGGGCACTCTAGAAATAAAGAGGAGAGTGTCAAAATATGTTTCTGAGCTAGTACACAGCTATTTCCCCTTGCCTTTTTCTAAGTTGACCAAATGAACTATTGATAGATCTGTTTGTACCAGTATCAGGCAGTTTTTTAAAAAAAATCTTTATTGTTTAAAATATTACATATCTCTCCTTTTTTCGTCATTGACCTCTCCCCGGCCACCCCCAGCCTGGAGAATATAGTTTTGACATGCAGTTACTTAGCCACTTAAATGTTGGTTATATGAGTGCTTACCTCACAGTGTTATTAGGGGATTAAGTAAAGAAAGGCCCCTGAAAGTACCCAGCGCCATGCCAGCTTATAATTAAAAAGCGGTTAACTACCATAATTGAGCACTCCTTGTCCTGCGCAGTGCGCAAGACACTTGCAAGATATTATCTGATTGAATCCTCTCAACGACCCTGCAGAGTAGGTAATAGAACTCCATTCAACGCATGAAGTTCAGAGAGCCAAGTAAAATGCCCAAGGTCATACACCTTCCAAGTAGTGATGTTGCGATTTGAATCCGATCTGTGTGAAAAGCCTGAGCATGTGAAACTGCTTTTTTATGATGAAATGATCATTTAAAGTGGTCATTTCATTTCCATATTTTGAAGACAATAAGACTGATGGATCCATTTATTTGTTTACCGTTTGTATTTTCGATTTGTAATGTGTTTAGATATCTTTTGCCTGTTTTATCTTTTGGGGATCTTTCCTGATTATCTTAGGAATATGCACAACCTCATCCTATACTACATATTTAACCCTTCTCTGACCATACTTGAGGCAGCAAGTGACATTCATCTTCCAAACCTACAAAATTTGACACTTGGATATACTTTCATATCTCATTTTTTTATAAACTTTTTAGGCTTATTCTGTAAACTGTTTGAAAAGTCTTTTTACTCAAGGATACCCCTATTCTGGGGTTGTTTTTTTGTTTTGTTTTGTTTTGTTTTGTTTTGTGTTAAGAGGCAGTGTAGTGTAGTCTTTACACAGAGTTGTGTTATGTACAGGTTGAATGGCTTCATCTAACTCTTAGAGAGATAGATAAATGCTCATAAGAAAAAATTGCTTCTATTTTTAAAAAACACTGCATGCGGTTAAACATATAATGACTTTGATGTTTTTGCATTCATTTTCCACTGGATTACTTTGGGAACGAGGAGAAAACTGTTGAGCTCATGAAGCTTAGAACCTAATCACCACTGATGACCACACTCTTTGAAGCAGTGTGAGAGCCGCCCACAAGGCAGGAATGGCGCTGTTGAAAACATATCCACTATTTCTCTCCTCACAGCAAAGTTCCTGGATTCGTCAGATTGATTGCTCCCGAGGGCTCCCTGGTATTTCACGAGAAAGCCTGGAACGCGTATCCCTACTGTAGGACAAGTAAGCCTGGTTCCCAGCAGCCCTTCCCCGAGGACAGCTGTGAGGAGGGTGCCACCGGGCAAGGCCTTTTGTGGGGTCTGGGGCAGAGAAGAGGTTGCATTGGGCTGCACCCCTCTCCCCCAGAGATTTGTGAGGGGCCTGGGCTCATTCCTAGATGACAGCACCTTGAGGTCCAGGCTCCAGGGGTGAGCGAGAGGAAGGAGCAGAAGCATGCCTCGTTTCATTGCGCTTCGCTGTATTCAGTGAAGGCAGTGCCCTCCCCGGCTCTGTGGTTTGAACCCGCGGTATCTCTGAGACATGCCTGTGAGAAACTATAAAGAAAGGCCGTCCACACGCAGAAGTGTCTCCTGGCGTGGCTTTAACAGTATTTTACTTATATTGCCACGTGATAGGGGAGGGATATGGCAGCCTTCTGAAAAAGTTTTTTGTTGTTTGCTAAATTGGTATTAGAAATGATGTGTTTGCTTTTGCGACATTATTCTTTCTACCATAGTTTTAAACTTGGATTATTGACTCCATCGTGTAAAGTATGTTGCTCTGTGACTTGTATAGAAACTGTGCTTTGCAGATGTAAACTACTAACTGTCTTATGTTCGGGTAGTTTGATCTTGTAACGTTAAATATTGTGACGGATTGTTTTGACTCTGATTAATATTCTGACATTTTTCTCCTTTTATCGCCCCCCCTGTCCGTGATGCCTCAGTTGTAACGGTGAGTAAAATGGTTTTCTGTGTCTCCATCTTTCGACTTAGCTTTACATAGTCATTTCTTTGCAACTTTTATTAAAACTGCCCATCGCTGCATGGTTCCTCCTCTGTGCTTCTCCCAGCATCCTGCGCTCCATCACATGCTCTCTTCAGCCTTATCTCAAAGTCTCCCTGTTACTTTATTTTGCTTCTGCTACTTCTTGCGAATGCCAGATTTGCTCACCAAAGCTCACAGCTTCTTTAATATTAGCCCTGTGTGCTGCATGACAAGTAGGGCTGTTTCAATTATTTAAAAGCATGTAGCATTTGGTTGGCCTTGACAAGCCTATAAGAATAGGTAGCCAATGGTTCTTTATCAAGAACCTGAGGACCAGGCTTGTAGAGTCAAAGGCATGGATGCTTATACTGGGGAAGGCTCTACAAAGAACTGGCGAAAGCTCACTGTCATTGACTGTTGTGTTTTCTGCAGAATGAATATATGAAAGATGATTTCTTCATTAAAATCGAAACATGGCACAAACCAGACTTGGGAACATTAGAAAATGTAAGTTTTCACCTCTTATGAAAATGAACTTTTCACTGGAATGAGAATATTACAGTCCATTTTGTCATCACCAAAGTGAGGACACCTGCATTATATTTATTACCTGACCACCCCGGGGTCTGTCAGATTACAGGGAGGCAAGCAAACAACCGGAAACAAATGAGTTTTCCTGATCATTCTCCTTCCCTTGAGCGGACTTCAGTGAGGTTGCTGTTTTTATCAGCAACTCCTTGTCTGACACAGGGAAAGCACAGTTAGAACAAAACTCACAGATAACCCCAAAGCAATCTGAGCCATTCGGTTTTAGATTTCTTTTACCTTTTCATCTCTGTGTTTGCCAGAGCTGCTCTCCATTGCAAAAAATGATGGCTTTCATTTTCATCTCCATCCCACTTTGCTGGGATATGGGTTGATGTCAGAGAAAGGGCCTAGGAAGAAGGTACTCAGGATAATTTATAATAATGTTGACGAGTTCCGGATATTTACAAGTTGGTACACATTTCTCTCTAAAAGAAATGAGGTGATTGGATATTTTTAGTCTGTGTATGACTTAATCTGCCTTCAGCTTTCGGATGGCTATATCTTTGGCAGTTTTTAAACAACTCTTAATTGGTTCATAGATGGAGTTTCAGAAATGGATGGAACAACATGAAGTATAGAGGAGTTCACATCATACTGAAACTGAATAGCTTTAGGATAATCAAAGTCAGAGTTTCAGACCATACAATGCCGCTTTTTGAGATCTTAATTATAATGTCACTTTATGTTTATCTGGAATTTGGAGATTAAAAGGACTTTGTCATGTATTGTTTGAGTTAAACATGGGTCAGGTACATTTTGTTATAACTAAATAATCTCTAACGACTACCAGAAAATGTGCGACAGACTTTTGTTAATTTGGCAGCACCTTCTCCCCCCTCCCCTTATTTTGGGGGTTTCAAGGGATAATAAAAGATTTCTAGATCCCTCAAGACTAGCTTAATTATATAGCAATTTGGATTTTCCCTCTTTTATAATGTACTCTGAGAGACTCAAGATAAAGATGATATATGTAAGTATAATAGTTTGCCTAGCAAGAGTAGTCTGTCATTTGTTTAATTTCTCTTCGTAATTTTAGGTACACGGTTTAGATCCCAACACGTGGAAAACTGTTGAAATTGTCCATATAGATATTGCAGATCGAAGTCAAGTTGAACCAGCAGTAAGTACTATGTACTACTCAGTGACATTTTAACCTGTTGTTTCTTACATCTAAGAATTATTTATTTCTTGTATGGCCTCCATTTTTACACTGAAGTGAGCCTGGAGCTTGGGTCTGGACTGTACATCAGAAAGATCAGAGAGTAGGAGACAAGGTGATTGGTTTTTTGGTGTGGATTTCACCTTTGTATAAGTAATCCCTTTAAGAAATCTCAGTGTATCTGAGATATACAGAGGTTTGTTTTCATGGGGGTGGGGGAGGGGGTGACAATATTTTACAAAAAGTTACAAAAGCAAACATTCCATTTACATACAAATTTTCAGTAGTTTGGGTTACCCTAACATTTGTCATTTGTGAGCAATGGTTGATGGTAGAACACCTCAGTTTAACAGTTGTGTAGCTTTTAATTTTGATTCTTACTAGATATAAATATTTGCACTTTAAGCTCTTGACTTAATAAGAAAACTTGTTCTCAAAAGTATTAAAACCTTTATTTTACAACCACCCCCTGTACAACTCTCCCCTCCAAATTAAAGCCCTGGTATTTTTTTTCCACATTTGCAATATCAACTAACTACATATACTATACTTCATACTGCTTTGGTGTTGCAGTGAACAGCTGTGGATTTTTTACACGTTCAGACAACCTTCTTGCTAGTCGGGAGAGAGCTAAAGCTTTGACATAAGAGTGACACCTCGTTTTGTCATGAAACTAGCCTTTCATTTCATTTTCAGTGCTCTTCCCTGAACTTGAGCATTGTCATAGGCTTGAACAGAAGCAGCTCAACAACTAACGGTCTCACATTGCTGGTGAAGTGTAAATGTGAACCTTCTAAAACAAAGACCTGTCCTTTTCTCAGAAATCACTGGGGTTCGGAATGCCAGCAGGGACCCTCTGCCAGGCTGGGTCCTATTCAGCTGGGGCCCCCACCCTGATTGGAAGTGGGATCTTTGTCGTGGGAGATTTTATATTTTAGTTGTACTGTGATTTGAAGTTTTTTCAATTTCAGGGCTATTTCTGCCTTTGAAATGACATAAAGCTTTTTTTATCCTCAGAAGTAAAATGTGTTCTCTATTGAAAACAGTGTCTGTTTTGCCTTTTTATTACTCTTAGTATCTTTTCCAGCCATGATTTCCGGGTGATAGGAAGAGCAGTCGTTGGGAGTGAGTAATGAGTGAGTCAGTGAGTGGCGAGGTCGGGACAGCTCACACGTCTGGAGCAGCAGTGTGGCCTTGGGATTGGGTGGCCTGGGGAAGCCATTCAGGTTATTCTGTCAGTTTGAAAAAGTTGTGCTGGCCAAACCCAATGGTCTGATATTATGGCTCACAGATTTACATTCCATGTTCTTCAGCAGGACACAAGGCCACTCTGGTTTTGCTGAGTAGTTCTTTGTCCTTGTTCTCAGGCTAAACTGGTCTCAGTCAGTGTTTATAGGCACCCGCGGGACTTGTAAGAACAGTGAAGGCGGATTATGAAGAGCCTTAGAGCCCTCAGTCCCTTCCTTCCTCAGCTTAACCTTCAGAGAGAAAGGAAGGCAGCGCTGGCCTCAGACACATGACAACAGCACTGGAGAGGGGGCTTCAGGGGGAGGCATTGCACATGCTAAGGCTGAGCAGGTGGCTCTGTGGGTGAACAGTGAGAGAGAGGATGGATGGGCCAAATGAGGGCCTGCATTGCGAGTCCATGGAGCTGCGACTAAGAATATACATTTCTGAAACTAGATTGGCTTCAGATTCAAATTCTGAGATTGTGCTACCTGCTGGCTCTCCCATCCTGCGTGCCTGTTCTAGCTGTGTAAAATGGGCCTAATTACCTCACGGGACTAAATGTGAGAACTTAGAGCAGTGTCCTGTTTAATAATTGCTGGCCATTATTGTCATTATTATTAGCTAGCGGTGCACAGAAGTTCTGAGAACCTATGCTCACACCACACATTGTCTGGGGAGAATCAGTGTTCATTTACATATGTGTGATTGTGTTTTTCAGTGTCCATACCTCCTATTTTCCAAGTTACATTTTAGAAATTAGCTGAAACTGGTTTAGCTCAGTGGATAGAGCATCAGTCTGCGGACTGAAAGGTCCCAGGTTCGATTCCTGTCAAGGGCATGTACATTGGTTGCGTGCACATCCCCAGTAGGGGGTGTGCAAGAGGCAGCTGGTCGATGTTTTCCTCTCATCTATGTTTCTACCTTGTTTCCCCAAAAATAAGACAATGTCTTATATTAATTTTTGCTCCCAAAGATGCGCTAGGTCCTATTTTCAGGGGATGTCTTATTTTTCTATGCACTAGGTCTTATTTTCAGAGGATGTCTTATTTTCGGGGAAACACTGTAGCTCTATCCCTCTCCCTTTCTCTCTGTAAAAAATCAATAAAATATATTTAAAAAAAAGAAATTAATAGGAAATACTTTTTTTAAGTTTATCGGATTCACAGTACCTTTTTTATTATAAAATACACACACTACAAAATTTACCATTTTAACCATTTAAAAATGTGTCGTTCTGTGGCATTTAGTACATCCACAGTATTGTCCAACTATCACCACCATCCAGTTCTGGGACATTTTCATCGTCCCAAATGGACACCCTGGACCCATAAATAGTCACTCTCTCCTCTATCCCCACACGTTTTGGCTGCCACTCACCTCTTTTGTGGATTGACCTGTTCTGGATATTTCATGTGAATGTGTGGTGAGGGGGAGTGGTAGGGCCTGGCACCCATTCCAGCAAGGAGGCGGGCAAGAGCCTTTGCGGGCCAGGGAAGCAGGGTCTGTCTGCCCCTTTCTTCTGCACAGTCTCATTTGCTCACCCTGCTGGCATAGACGGCTGCCCCGCCACTCCCTTCCCCTCCCACCCCATCTGCTCGGCCTTGTCTAGTTAATGTTTGTCTTAGGATCGGCTTCTGTGGCAAATACCTGGGTCACCTGGGCGTCCTTTCGTTTTTACCTGATCTGGCTCGGTTTTTGCTGAGTTAATTTGTTCATTCGAGTCTGCCTTGTCTATCTATGTTCCTTGTAAATTCTAATCCAAGATGTTGGGAAAAAGGAAGCTTCCAGATCATATTTGCACATTCTAAAGTGGCAGTTAGTGGATGCCCAGTCTGTGCTGCCTGAATAGCCCTGCTGTAGCTGTCCATGATGGATATAGTGCCCTCAGGAGGTTTACAATCCCCAGGCACAGGTCCAGAGCCTGGCGTAGTTCACAGATGGCACGGGCTTATGCTTGGCTCAGAGTTCCCCAGGATTTCAGAGACAAGAACAAGTGGTCTGTGGGTGTGGAAACAGATTAAGGTATGTCTACCAACAGTGATTAGGTAGTGCCTAAAAGTTGCTCTTCAAGAATTTAAATGGCACTAGAATTGGGAGCTTTGTAACTATGAATAGGCCAACTCGGTAGAATTTCAATAGGAAGGTTTTCGGAAGGTTCTGTTGATCTCATAGTTCAGATGATGACACCTTAACTCCTTGAGATTTTAGTCTCAGAATGACTTATTGATTTGATAAGTTCATTGATTTTCATTTTGTTTACCATGAACTCTTAATTTGTCTCGAATGAGCTAATTTTCCTAAAAACTTATTAAGCTATTTTTTCCATTCTTATTACTTGCTTTAAAAAAAATCAGTATGGTAATTAGTCGTTTTGAGAAGATAAATAATCAAGTGTCCTTCGAAATCAGGACAGAGGTGAAATAGTTGGGAGGTCAAGAAACCCAGAAATTGGAAGGAAAGCTTGAATCTTTTACCCCCACCTGGTGGGGATTTTCTGTCACTGCAGAGGAATTTAATAGAAACAGCCCCAAATCTTTTAATTCAGAGTGACTGTTGATTACTTTTAGGGCTTAACTCTCTGCTGGGTTGCTGGTGTCAGACAGCTTGTATACCACTCTGTCATAGACTTACTGGTTTTTGGGGTTTTTTTTTTTTTGTTTTTTTTTTGGTTGTGCTTATGAACTGTATTTCACCATGCATAGCAGGGATGTGATTAGACCTGCAGTGTAACCGAATACTGGGGGAGATGCTTTGACATGTTTACATCATTGAACAGGAGACATGGTCACAATAACTCTAGGAATAGGGTTTATTGTAAAAATCTGTCGGTGTGACCCACTGTTAACAGAGGAATACGCTAGAGAAATCGTGTGTATTTAAGTACATGATTTATTTAGGGTTGTTTGTTGATGACTTACAGAAAGTGTGGTATGTTAGTATAGCCATGATTCTCTGGAATTTCCTAGAAGACACATCATTGCCTAATGAAACAAGCTAAGCAATCTGGGATTTCTGCATACATGCATGAATTTCTGCATAAATATTCCTACCCAATGTCTTTTGGCCACCAACCAAAACAGATTCCCTGTTTCAGAGGAAAGACTCATAGTAGTGAAGTGGTAAGATGTTAATTCCTTTAAGAAGGAGGGCTCTTCCTGTTTGACATGGAAGCAGCCACAGAGCACAGGGTTCCAGCAGGACACACCTCCTTGCTCCCACCCTTTCCCCATTTCAAATCTAACCCCGGGGGTCACTCCTGAGAAGGCTTTTGAGCGCCCTTATGGGGCCTGACCTGTACTGTTCTCATCCTCTCTGTGCTGCTGCTGGGTCCTAGCAAGATGCTCGCTATTGAGCCTGATGGGGAGTGACTTCTCAATAAAGGCTTGGTGGATGGATCAAAGAGAACGTGCAGCTTTCCCCCAGCTGTGGTGTTAAGGGGGCGGGGGGAGTTTGAAGGAATTGAAGCTTGTTTTTGTTCAAATATTAAATGAACAAAATGCTACTTTCGGTCCTCATTTTACTAATCTTAGCTGGTGAAGGATATAATGATGCACTTCAATTCTAAAAACGCTGTCCTTTCTGAATGAGCATATATCTTTCTTTCAGATGAAAAAGTTGTTTGAGATCAAATTGTAATAGAAGTCAAGGTATCCAGCACAAGAACACCAGATTGTAGTTAAAGTTCTTTTTTTAATTTCTAAAGTTGCCGTATATACATGACCACAACAAAA